TCTTTACTTATCAATTGATAAAATTGCTTGTCACCCGTCATCAATGTCGCTATCACCAAAACTCCATAATTTCGCGTAGAGGCTCCAACATTTGATTGAACAACGACTGCATCTTTCTCTATCAGGCCTTATCAGCTGTTATCATTTCCTGTCACCCGCCGTCGCCTTCTCCTATCATTTGCTGAAATCAACGCCTATGATGCTGTGTCCCGCGTTATGAGTATGTTGTCCTTTCCACTCTAATTCCCCTTATCAGCAGCTAGCAGTTCTTGTCACCCACATATTCCTGTGTAACCTATATCATACCTTGAAAAAACGCCCCAGTGTTCCAGTCGGACCGTCTCCTCTGCTTCCTTCCTTGCGCATGCTCAGATGGGGCTGAGCACGCGCAGGGGAAGGAAGCAGAGGGGGGGGGCACTGGGCGTCCCCCCCCCCCCATCGGCCCCACCCCACCCTGCCCCCGCACGAGCACACGTCCAGCTGCCACGCCAGCAGCTCGTGCAATGGCTCGGAGTGTACCGAATGGTTGTCTTATATAGCGGAGGCCGATATCACGATCAAAACATTGGATTGATACTTCCGCACCAATCGATTTCCGGTTTGCCTAGCGGTCGTTTTTCCCTCCAGTACTTCGAACCCGTGAAACATTTTGCGGACGGACAGACATACATACATACTTACATACATACAAACCGACACACAAAGTTACTGGTTTATAGAATAGAAGGATTAGATGAGCATAGACTTTGTTGTCCTTGAGACGCAGCGAAGTATTCCTTCTTGGTCTGGCTGTATATTGAGATCTTTCTGAGAGTTGTGCGGTGATGGTCGACCATAGCCTTCTGGTGGTCGCGAATAATGCTGTTGCGAATCGGGGTTGCCCGACGCCCGGGATGGCGCGTGGAGGGGTCCGCCCGAGGCCTCTGGGCGTGAATTCCCCTCCACGGGTGTTATGTCTCCTCCCTGGACTACTCGGACCTTAGGATGTGACGTCGCTCCCCGGTTCCCTGCGTCACTTGGACTACCTAGATCCTACATTCGTCCTGGAGTCAACGTGAGGAGGCATGTGCCGTGTATTACTCTACCACACACTGACAGACTCATGGTTAATTGAGTTTATGTAGTAAAGAAACTTCAACAATGCATAAAAAGAGGTTAGTGATACGTTAGTAAATGGCGAACCTGTCCGACGAGAGAGATATGTAGCTCCGTGAACTATAGATACTCGCAAGTGGTGGATCGGGCCATATCCTCGTGCATATAACAATTTCGGCATCAGGCCGACGGAATATGGACTTCTTCAATACGACGTTCTAAGGGCCCAAGCCCTACGTAGCGCCACCTCTAGTAAGTTCGATTTTGCGATGAGTGCATGGGAATAGTGTCTCTCCATCGTAGGTGGCCAGCGGCTCGGAGGGTGTTAGTACAGCAATGGAATACCACGATCGATCAGCGGGTTAGTGGGGCTCAGTGGAGAGACGAGGGGGAAGTCGGCTGCTCAGGGCAAGACGCCGGAGAGCAGGATGGAGTAGAGTAGAAGTGAACTAGAAGCGTCGAAGCCACCGATAGTGGCCGCGGTTTCCCGCGCGATCGACGCGGAGATCAACTGGTAGGTGGTCAAGGTGGCTGGACTACGGTAGGCGCCAGCACACCCGGGAGGACCCTCGGGAGCGATCCTCGCGATTCCGCGACACTCCCGCCCCAAAAGAACTCGCTTGGGCGTAAGCCTCAGGGGAGGCGTAGTGCTGGTTTCTGCTTTGAACCCGCGGGGCATTGGCGAAAAGCGGCGGGCGAACACATCTCTCTCGACGGAGTATCATGAATCTTCTTGAACTAAAAGTGATTATGAAATAGAGGTAAAGTTAGTAGCAATACTAATAAATCTTCAAATTGTGAATGAACTAAATTCACATAACTACAAAATCTACATTATACTATACACTGAAGGCACGGAGGTAGTGTCGACCGCCTATTGGTGAAGTCCGTCGCCGTTTGACTGGAGCTTCTAATTAGTAAGTGTGAGAAAGAGTTAATAAGCATGGGAGAAAGGACAGCGCAGATTCTAACAGTTAGTGGCTTCTGTAGAAGCCGCTAATATTGGACTAGACTGGACTGTGCCCCCTTAAACCATTGGTTGCTCACCAATCGCTCATCGGCTTTACTGCTTGTTCTTTCGGCACAGAGCGGTGCGACCTTGGGCTCTGGACAGCGTTCTCGGGCCGTACATGAAAGTGCCGCTCCTTATAGGGCGTAGCACAGGGCGGCGAATGGAGCGCCTGGAGGGGGTCACGTAGATGGACGAGAAGGCCGCTCGTGACATCTCTGGCAGTCGTCGACGTCCTTTATGAGGCCATGATTAGAGACATATAGGCGGCGGTAGCGTGGCCCCCATACCACGCCACGCCATACTCGCAAGAAGTCAGGCGCGGATCACTCTGCTTAATGCTTTTTAGGCGAATTGCTGCAAGCCGTTGTGGCGGAGGAACGACTGTCTTTCGCTGAGTTCAGGGACTTCGGGACAGTCTGGACTAAAATGATATCCATCCGAGCAAAAAATGCACGGGTCCACCTCCTGAATGTGCAGTCGCGCAGCTTTCGCCTGGGAAATTTTTTTTCAAGCTTGCATGGGTAGCTGAAGTATGGGTTTGTATTAAGGGGGGCCTCCGGCTCATTGGGTTTTGACTATACGGCGTCTACCTGTAATACAGAACACCTTACCTAATGTAACCTTTCCAGTTCTATTGTAATAGCTTTGACTTCTTTAGACCTGCGCGCTGCAAGTCGTGCCTGCATTACGTAAGCTACTCGCGCCATATCCTCACCCGCGAGGCATCCAGATAAAGCGAACTTCTATAAGAGCATTGAGATAGTATGGATATGGTCAGCGTATTTGGGTAATGCTACTTATGAGGTGTCCTGTATTAAGTCCTAACTTCGCATTGTTGGTTTCTATTTGAGGAAACCAAGGGAATCTGGCATGACATAAAATGAAAGAGCAAGAAAAAAGGGGGTTAGCGATGGAGAAAAGGAGCATGGGGTTAGACGAGCTTTGAGATCTTTTTTGTGAGATCACAAAAAGGGTTTGACCCGTAAAATTGGACTAGAATGTGATATTACCCGTAAGCATGTAAAGACTAGAATGAAATTTACGCCGGTATTTAATGGCATGCAGACTAGTTGAAAGAAATACCCGCAAACGTGTCGACAAACATAATAAGCGAAGATTACCTCGTAAAAAATGTGAGGAAACCCGCGAGAAAAGTACTCGTTAGTACTGGTGGAGCGTTTATGTTTTCGCGGAACGCTCACATGTTGAAACGGAACGACATGGAATATGATTTTCGGCGTGCAAGAATGGATTGGAAAATTAGGCCGGAGAGCTAAGCATGCGTATTGACAATGAAAATGGTGATGTCAGTGTCCGTGATGAAGTTTCATTGAAGTATATGGCTTTTAGCCCATATTATTGTGAAATAGGAATGAGTAAAAGGAATGAATGAGCATAGTAAAAATGTTGTCGCTAAGACGGCTTTTTATGAAAAAGGGTCTCGCGCCCAATAAAAGGGACATCGTTGTCATTCATGCTCTTTGAAAGCCTGCTTGAATCTGATATGTACTTGCAGTGTGGTTGTACCATTGCCCGACTATGCGCATGGGGTGCGCCGTCGTACTAGTACAACACATTGTTTCTAATACACGTTTATTGTTGATTCAAAAGACTTCCGCCCTGGAAGTACATTAATGATTGTCTCGTCGAAGTACACTGGGTATCTGGTAGCTCCGGAGGTATAAACAGAGATAAATGAAAATGTAATAGTAATGAGATACTCCGTCCAATATATTTTCGCGAGCGAGACGTATCTTTTCGCGGCCATCTTGGTAAATACCGAACCGGCGCAGAGCTGAATAGACGCTGTGGTAAGTTAATGAAATTATATTACGCAGGAGCGACGAACAGTAGCGACTGTAATAAGTGAGGCAATGCTGCAGTGTGTTAAATCATGGATTAGTGTGCAGTGAGCCTTATAGTAAACTTGACGATGAGTAGTGTAGCGTAAACGATTGTCATATCAAATAAAAAAAGATGAAGATGAGAAGTGTGATATGTTAATAAGATTGAGAACAGAAACTGTGAGATAGAGTTGCGTGACGGGTGCTGAGTGAGGAACCACAGAAATTTACGGATTTCGCATTTGCGCCAGCCCGCTTCGCCGCTGTAGTAGATGAGTGAGTAAGTACGTAATAGATGAAAAATGGTGCTAACGTATTTGGGGGGGACCACGCGGCTCGCGGCGAGTGATGACTCATCGGCTCTTCACTAATAGGCATACTTGAAGCGCCATTCAGCGGCCAAATGGAAGTAAAACAAACAAGATACACCGGAATTTGCTAAGAAACCCCAGAAGCTGAAAAACAAGTGTTGATGTGTCGCGGTCAACAATAACATTAAACAACAGCCGTAGTTGATATGATTCTTCTTTAGTATAACAAGGCCTGTGATATACTATCCGTCTTGCTAGCGGCTCAAGCCATGTCAGTTGTCTCTTAGCTGTGACATTCTACGACACTGTGCTGGAATTCATTCGCACTGGCGCGCGCATATTGTTTTCGTACGGCCACAAGTCCTTTCAGATTTTCAAGTCCCTAGAAGCACTGTGTGTAGGAGAAACCTTAATCACGTTGGAGGGTCAGTCCAATGGCACCTTCCTAAGGAAATTATATCAGGATCTACTACAAGATGTCGGGTTTGACTATTTTACATCTGACCTAAGAACCATAATCTATTCAGCGCCGATACCTGAGCGGACATGAGATTTCATGTCTCAGCAAGGTGTTTGGCCACCCGTACAACATGGATGAAGGGTCCCTGAAGCCTTGACAAGACAACGGAATCATTCGCAGTAGATCTTAACCATGTAAACATCGTAACATGTTATGTGAAAGAGAACATCAGGAACTACATTCTGCCTCATGGGTCATGGCCGCCCGTGGAATTTGAAATGATGAGACCAGATCATCCGTTACGACGTGCCCAAGAAGCTGGTCTCAGCCACACGATCCTGTTATTGAAAGAAATTACGGGCCCGCAAGAATCGAGGATTATACATAACCTCCTCAAGTGTCTCGAGTTTGACAAATTGGAAAATGTACTCCCCCATTTGAAAGACCGAACCATATCGGTGTTGCGATCTCGAGTGTTTAGAACGTATCTAAGGCAGGAACCCGCAGATCATACACCTGTATCGTGGCGAGATACTCAGTTGTTGCTTGTTTATCTTCTCAGTCCTGGTTCAGCTCACGACCATCTGAGTTACCTTGAGCAGTATAATGCCTCATTGGACCTAGAAGACCTGTTGGACTATCTGGTCATTCGCATTGTACCAAAAGAAAGGGAACTCAAAGAGATTTACCGGGGTTTTGGGTGCAAGTCATATGAAGACCGGATGCGGTCCATCTGTCAAGAATACAACGTGATGTCATTCCTGGAGGCATACTCTGACGAACAAGCTATGTCGGTAACCGAGCTCGAACGGCAAGAAAAACTAGTGGCATTTTGCCAGCTCTCACGTGCTTACCCCCTACATAAAATCTTGAACGTCGTTATTGACGCGTCATCCTGGAATAATAAGTTCCGGGATGAAACCGTAAGACCTGTGATGTCTGTCACTTAGATCCTATCTACGGCACAACAATTTTTGGAAAAACACACATCGCTTATCAACATGCCTTGATGTATGTGCCTGATAAAGGTGGTACATGGTACTGGCACGGTCAGGACGGAGGCATTGAGGGTCTAAATCAAGACACGTGGGTTGTAGTTTACATAGCTCAGATTAAATCAGCCCTGGCGAGGATAGAGTTCCCGTACCATATCCTGTGTAAGGGAGATGATATGCGCGTGTGCTTCGCAATACCTCCTTCTGTTTACACGCAACGCTCAATACCGCAAATCCGTGAGGAACTGGTCGGGCGTATTTCGGGCACACAATTTAAAAAAGGAATCATACGGCTCGGACACGTATTTTGCATTCTCTTAAGCAGCATCAATCTAAAACAGAACTGCCCCAAACATTGAGAAAAATCCAGAAGGTGTACGGAGCATCGAACGCTTTCATCGCCACGTTGGACGAGTATGTCGGATCGGCTTTCAGTAATGCTCACTCAGCTTGTAAAGTTGGAGTTCAGACTTGTGGTCCATATTACGTTGCATGTTATTGGGCTTACTGGCATATTCTGAAGACAAGAGGATATTCCGAATTATCTGATCCTCAACTGCTGGCTCTTCTTCTTGTCCCGAATATGCTGGGTAGTTTCCCCATCATATACTTACATAACATGTCTGTTCGTGCTGAATCAGATCTGCTCCCGCCCTTCCTATGTATTTACTCTTATTTACAAGCTAGGAACTCGTCTATTGCCGGTTACATGCAACATTTTATGAGAGTTAAACCCCGTGCTAAAGAGGATCTGCGTATGCTTTTATATGACCCATACGCACTTCCTATTGAGAGACCACTGACACCAGCTACGGTAATTCGAAACATGGTGAAAACTGTATTGCGCCAGGTGATCAGCGAGAAGAAATCAGAGAGATTCTTGACCTAGTAGACAGGTCAACCTCCGAAGCTCTCATGCAAACCATCTTGTCAGCAAAGCCGTTCCACGTTAAGATCTTATACACACTGTTCGCAGCCACGCCTGAAGGGATTCTTGATGAAATTGTTAGAAAATTCGAATCTTGTAGAAGCATAATGGAACTAGTGATTTCACGAGGCGGAATACGGAAGGCAAGTACAGCAGCACGGTTGATTGTTACATCAGAAACGAAACTGCAAACTTGGAGAATCGCTCGGTTGAACGGCATATTTGAAGGCAGTATTGACGCCCCGCTTAACCATCTAGTTACAGCATGCCCGACCGAGACAGCCTGGCGTTGGAGGGAATACGCATGGGGCAGAGAAATACACGGGATCACACAACCGCCATTGCAGCACGTCATGCACTACACATGGTGGATCAGGCGGTGATACTTGGGCTGACAGACATCATTTCTAT